GGGCAAAACCCAGTAGGGCATAGCACTCAAGGCTTTGCATTCTCAAAGGTACTTTGGGGGACTACCATGCCCAGAATCCCCAGCCACCCAGGATTCATCCCTGCCCAGGAATTGAGATCTATTGGAGGAGCTCTCCTTTGTTTGCCATCATGGGATGATATGGAGAGGACCTTTTCACTATTGGCATCCAGTTGTGAAATGCCCTTCCTTTGGAGTCAATAATAATAATAATAATAATAATAATAATAATAATAATGTTTTAGACCCTTCCTTTCCTTGAGGCGGGGTACAGCATGTTAAAACCCAATTAAAAATGCATAAACCCACCGTTAAAATACTACTATATACTATAAAATCATTAAACTATAGTCATAGGGTTCATGTACAGATTGCACAACCTATTGGCTTCACTCCTGCACTAAGGGTGCATCTGCACTGCTGAAATAATGCAGTTTGACACTGCTTTAACTGCCACGGCTCCAGCCTACAGAGTCGTGGGATTTGTAGTTTGGCGAGGCACCAGCACTCGTGGGCTGAGAAGGCTAAAGGCCTTGTCAAACTAAAAATCCCAATATTCCATAGGATGGAACTACCGCATTTAAAAATGGTGTTGAGCTGCATTATTTCTACACTAAGTTGAAATTTGGTTATGAAAGGCTTTGGGGTGGACTTCATCCAAGGAGTATACCGACATGATTTTATATTTATATTTGGGATGGAGCCATGGCAGTAAAAGCAGTGTCAAAATGCATTAATTCTGCAATGCAGATGCAGCCCTGGAATCTTAAAACTGTATGCTATTCGGGGAAAGAAATATTTTAAATAAATATATTTTGGAAATGGGAAATAGTTATTTAAGCATTGGGTTAGGACTCTGGAGACCAGGGTTCGAATCCCAACTTGGTCATGGAACCACTGGTTGACCTTGGGCAAGTCACACTCTCTCAGCCTCAGGGGAAGTCAACGGCAAACCTCCTCTGAACAGATCTTGCCAAGAAAACCCCAGGATAAATTTGCCATAGGGTCACCATAACTTGGAAACAACTTGAAGGCACACAACAATGATTTTTGAAGTGCGTCCGATAGGAAAACTCTGGCAATTTCTCTTGGTTGTTGATGATGGATTTTCTCTGTCCCTCTCCGCTCACAGTCCAGGGGCTATGGCTGAGAAGACCCTTGACCCCAGCTGTGTCTCCATTGCCCTGGAAGACCCCATCTGCAACTCCGGGGCCCAAGATACTCCCCTCTTGACCACCCACTTGAAGAAGGTGGAGAACCACATCACGGAGGCCCAGCGGTTCTCCCACCTGCCCAAGCGCTCTGCCGTGGATATCGAATTCATTGACCTGTCCTACTCCGTCCGCGAAGGGTCCTGCTGGCGGAAGAGAGGTAAGGGGTCTTGTTTGGGCACCTTGCTGCTCTTTGGACAAGGAAGAGGGACCCATTTAGAAGCTGATGTTTGTCTCTGCACTTGCAGGGTTCCCTGCTTCCATGCTACATTGTGGAAGACTTGTACATACAAACATATCCATACATGCACACGGGTGCAAATGTGCATGCATGCACATAGATGAACAGTGGTATGCACGTAGATGCGTGAAAATGTGCAAGCATGCACATAGATGGACACTGGTGTGCACATAAATGTGTGAAAATGTGCATGCATGGACATAGATGGACAGTGGTGTGCACCTAGATGTGTGAAAATGTGCATGCATGCACATAGATGGACAGTGGCATGCACACAGATGCACAGATAATGAAGTAGGCATGGTTCCTGGCACCAGAGGTAGAATTACCATCAATAGAGATGTAGTATGTTGGGAGATTTTGTAGGACCTTACGAGACTAATTAAATAAAGAGGTTGGCAACATTTTAACTGCCATGGCTCATTGCTATGTATATATATAAATAGAGGGGGCTTAGGGGACTGGTAGGGGACGTCAAGCACCATAAAAGTGAGGTTCAGGGGCTGAATATAATTCATAGGCCACACTTTCCCCATTCCTATACATGCCCATGGCTGTGCACACATACAGAAACATGCATATGCACACATATTTTACATATTCTGGACAAAGTGGAATTTGCCAATGTTCCCTTCTAGCCAGAACGTAATAGGGGGGGGGGGGGAACTACGGTACATAATCGTGACTAATGCACCCACTGAGCTGCATCTGCTTTTGAGTCACAAGAAACAGGCACATCTCCTTGTTGGCTGGCCAGAACAGATTTTGCTTGGGCGAATCTCTCTTCCTTCGTCAACATGAACTTGGTGGCTTTGGTATTTGGACAGAAAACGGGACAGAAAGCAGCTGCAACAAAATATTGCTGCATAGGACCTTCCCCTTCACCATTTTGATCCCCCTGATATCCAATGCTATTCCTTCTTTGGTGCAATTTTCTATACCCCACTTCACCATGTTCAGCCACTGTTTCCTACCCACTGGACACACACATACACATACGAGCCTAAATCCAATTGTTGGTCCCTATTATAGAGTCCAAGCCATTGAATCGATGGGCACTTGGTCAGTCAGATATAGTCAAATTTCCTATATCTGAGGCTGCGTTTGCACAGCAGAAATAATCCAGGTTGACACCACTGCCGTGGGACAATGCTATGGAATTCTGGGGATTGTAGTTTTGTGAGATATTTAGATTTCCCTGACAGAGAGCTCTGGTACTACAGTTCCCAGAATTCCATAGCATTGAGCCATGGCAGTTAAAAGTGGCGTCAGCCTGAATTATTTCTATAGTGAGGATGCAGCCTTAGTCATTGTTTCCTAGATCCTGTTATCTGGAGGTTCAACATGGGATTTCCTGAAAAGACAGGTTGGCTTAAAGAATGTGGATTTGGGTGGTTTTCTGTCCCAGATGGTATGGGCTACATGACAGGAGATGGATTTACCTATAAAATACTGACTGGCTGAACTTAAGACTTGCACCGAGTTCAAAATATTGGTCTATTGAGTCCAGTACTACCTGGAATGGAATTGTAAAATATTGATTCACAGGGATGATGGCTTCACCTGCCACTCACTGCAAACATCCTTGTCGCCTCTGAGCTTTGTTGCAATTTGCACATTAATTTTGGGGGGAAGTCGGTTTTCCAGGCAAGAAAGGAAGTGTTGATGGCTACCTTTTTTGCAACGCAAAACATATTGTGGTGGTTTAGTCTTGGATGGCAATGCAGAGCAATTAGCTTTCCCCTCCTGACGGAAAAGGAAACTGTTAGGATTGGTCTATTGACATGAACCAACCCAAGGGCCTTTATTTTCGGATTCCTCTTGTGTCCAATGGCTGTAAGGGACATGGGTTTGCTTAATAATAGCCACAAGTTGGGAGGAATGCCTGCCCTTCATTTTTAATCCTCCAGTCCCAATGGTCAGATCTGACAGGCAACAGCTCCCCAGGATCTTTCCCAGTTCAGCCACAAGAAATCCTTTTCACTAGAGATGCCAAGGATCAAGTCCAGGGCCCTTTCTGCCGATTGCCAATTTTACATCCCCGGTTTCTGCCTCTGAAATGGATGAAGGTACTTTGGGGGCACTACAGCTCTCCAAAATCCCCCCAGCTACACAGGCTGGCTGGGAGAGGGGATTCTGAGCTATGTAGTCCAAACAGTGTCACCTGCAATTCCCATCTTAATGGAGCGATGAATCATTTCCGTAATTTCACTAACTTTTACAGTGATTCCCAGACGTTCGTCCTCCAAATGTTTTGGACTTCAGCTTCCAGAAGCCCCAGCCAACTTAGCCAAAAGTCAAGAGTTCTGGGAGCTGAGGTCCTAAACATCTGGAAGACCAAAGTTTGGGAATCACTGCTTTAGAAGGTGCTGGACCTATTTAGACGGAGGGTTTTGCAACTTGGAGAGCAGTTTGCAAATCTAGATTTAAACCCCTGAAATGGATTCAGCAGCTGCCGCTGCTTCCAACAAATTAACCCTCCCAAGCTTTAAACACCACATTTGAAGGTAGGAAGTGAAATCCCAGATCTGGGATCGGATTCAATGGTGTGCCTAGATTTTTCTTGATCTTACTCCTTCCTTGTGAAGAGCCAAGGCCTTGCAGGGTTGCAAACAAAGTCCCAGATAATAAGGAGATAAATTTAGCATCTCTTTGGTGCCCCAGCCTTAGGTGTCTTTCTCTCTGAGCTCTCCGGGAACGTTCTCCTGCGTAGGTGGCTCTATTGCTCCTTGCATATAAATCAGTGCTGCAGAAAACCGGGGGAGGCTTATGGCATGGAGTAGGTGGTGGCCTGCCTTAATAAGCTCCTTTTAAATGGGGTGCTGGTCCCTGACCCCCAAGAAACAGAAGGAGAAATGGGGCCAAGAGGAAGGAAAGGAAAGGGATGGGTTTGGAAAGAATGAGGTGGAAATGGGAAGGGTTTGCTTTGCACTCATTGGTTTACACTCCAGATCACTCTTTAATTTCTCACCTGGGGATCAGGGAATAGGCATTTTTCCTTTCCCTTTATTTAAAAGGAAGTACGGATGTCCAATGAAATGCAATCTTGCTGCAAAAAAGCAAGTGCATCATTGTCCCGTAGGAAACAGAACTGTGCATATAAACTTTACAATTTTGTTTGTCAGATGTACGGATACATTTTACATAAAGTTAGGGGGAAATGGCCCTGGTTTTGTTTAAAAAAAGAAGAACCATAGTACAGATCCAAAATATTGTTACAAAGAAAGCATACACTCACACCAAGAATGGAAGAAGTTGCAACAACAGCTGGAATAATGCAGAATGATTCTTCCTTATTCAGAATGCCAAAATCTGAAATATTCCAAAACCCACTTTTTTCATGGCCGGCTGAGACAGAGATGCCTTTGCTTTCCGATGGTTTGTTGTATGGAAACTTTGTTTCATGCACAAAATTATTAAAAATATGGTATAAAATTGCCTTCGGGCTATGTGTATAAGAAACCCAAATGGATTTTGCGTTTGGACATGGCTCCCATCTCCAAGATGATCCTGTTAGTGAGATATAGTGAGCCAATGTGGCACAGTGGTTTGAAGGCTGGACAATGACTCTGGAGACCAGGGTTCGAATCCCGGTTTGGCCATGTAAACCCACTGGGTGATGTTGGGCAAGTCATACTCTCTCAGCCTCAGAGGATGGCAACGGCAAGAAACTTGCCAAGAAAATCCCATGATAGGTTTGCCTTAGGGTTGCTTAAGTTGGGAATGGCTTGAAGACACACAACAACATTGCATAAGGAAATATAGGTGTTTCAAAATCCAAAATAAAATAAATAAATAAATAAATAAAATTCCAGGATCCCAAACACTTCTGGTCCCAAGCATTTCAGATAAGGGAGAGTCAAGCTGTATATCAAAGGAAGCCAGGGGTGCAGCTACAGGGGGGCAAAATGGGATTGTTGACCCCCCAATAAGCATCCTGCCCTCTTAAATGAAATTTTCCTTCAGGCCCCAAATGCCTAGCCTTGCAGTAACTTAAAACTTCAGCTGAGCATTTAGAAATACCGTTTGAGCATCTACAGCAAAAGGGCAGGCAAAGTGACCCAGGGAATGCAAACCAAGCAAACCAAAGGGTTGTGGTATGAAAAATATCCAGTCTCTTTTCCCCTGAAATGCTAGAAATGTGAAGATGAAAGGGCAATATACCTACAAAAGATCATTTCTACGCCCCATTCAGTCTGGTGCGATCTGTGTCTCATGGTCCACCAGCCATGAATGGCAAACATGCATTGGTTGAATTGATGAGCTCCCCATTTTGTCTACTTGCCCTGGGCGACAAATGCAAGGGAGTCCCCAATTTCCATAGTTCACAGCTGACCATGGTTTCCCTTTGTCATGATGGTGGGTCCAAAAGTGTGTGATCTCCACTTTAGTGATGCTTCATTCTTCCTCCCATTGCATAGGAGAAGAGGGAAGGGTGGGTGGTTTGGAAGGACCTGCGTCTCCATGTTTGTATTCTATCACTGAGCTCCAGGAGGTATTACTCTGCTTAAGCTGGACAGATCCAGGTTAATCCCTCTTGCAACTGACTTTGCCAAGCCCTTGAAGACAGCTTTGCTACACCATCCTTGCCTCTAGACCGGGAGTGAGGAAAGCGTGGGCCGCATGCGGCCCCAATCTCTTAATTTGTGAATCTTTTCCTTGAACCTCAGCCCCAGCATCGGTTAATTTTAAAAAATGGTTCTTGAAGACATGATGAGTCAGTATCCATGGCACAGTAGTTTTAGTGTTGGACTACGACTCTGGAGACCAGGATTTGATTCCCAGCTCGGCTAAGAAAGCCACTGAGTGACCATGGGCGAGTCACACTCTCTCAGCCTCAAAAGAAGGCAAGGAGAAACCTCCTCCGAACGAGTCTTGCCAAGAAGACCCCATGATAGGGTCACCATAAGTTGGAAATGCCTTGAAGGAACCCAAGAACAACAACAAGGGACTCCTCCAGACAGGGCAAATGTGTCGAGAGGTTGTGGCCTTTGTTGCTGTATTTCTCAGAGCTTTTTAGGATACAAAGAAAGGTTGAAGGCGCTGGCGTCTTCAGGTTGGTGGAGAGAAAATGGAGGGGTGACAGGACTGTCTGTCCTCTTCTTCCCAAGAAGGGAGGATGAGGTCTAATGGCTTGAAGTTATAGGAGAGTAGGTTTCATTTGAACATCAGAAGGAATTTCTTGACACTAAGAGCAGTTTGGCAATGGGACCAATTGCTTGGAGAGATGGTGGGTCTCCTTCTCTGGACATCTTTGAAAACAGGTGGGACAAGTACCTGCTGGAGATGCTCTACCTGGAGATCCATCACTGAGCAGAGGGTTGGACTCAGTGGTCCATGAGTTGGTTCCTTCCAACTCTGCGATTCTATCCAAATGACATTTTGATTGTCCCAAACTGTTTTTGGGCCATTCCATACATCCACAGCAACATTTTATTCCCATCCTCAAGTATTTGGGATTTTTTTTAAAAAAAAATCTGAAACCCCAAAAGTATCCTTTGATCACTTCTCTTTCTTTTTAAATTTTGGTTTTTTTTAGACATTATAGTGCATTGGTGAAATGGCAGGTTTGCACAATAGCACTACAACTCTAAATAAATAAATAAATTACAACATCAGGGAGGAGAAAATGTGCACTTCAAATCACATAACCAACTCAGCAAACCAAGTCATGTATTCAAAACAAAACAACAACTTTGGAAGAGTCCTAATGTAGATCCAAGAAATCATTGCAAACAGCCCCCCTCCCACAAACGAAAGAATGGAATGAATAGATCTAGAGCTGATGACAATGGGCCAAAACCAAGAAGCTATTTTGCAAGACGCTGGAGTTCTTTACATCAGTCTGGATGAGCCCAACATAAAAATACCAAACATCATCAAGGTAGCTTTCATCTCCTTTCAGCCTCCGGTCAAGATATTTATGAGAGATTTGGCTTTTCCCTAAGGGGAAGGTGAGAGAATTGATAGGAATATTTGGTGCATGCTTTTCAGAGATCCTGATGGAAAGAGCTTGTCTATTCTTGCATCCATGGGGGTAGGATCCTGAGGTCTTTGCTTCAGTGATCCCAAAGTTGACAAACAAGGGAGCAGAGGGAAGCCAGCTCCTTTAAAACTAGTGTGGGCAAATGCCAGGGGTTCCAGACCTTGCATTGCACCCACCCACCCATGAATTTATTTTACTTTTTAAAAAATTCAAAATGTCACTGAGGATGTGGGAAGGGGCCATTCTGCTATGTTTTGGTCTTCCCACAGGATGTTTCAGACTCAGGTGAGGACTTAAGAAATAAGTTTTAGGGGGGCAAAAGTTGCAAAATGTTACAGAGGTGCCGGGGCCCCTTGGTATTCTTGAAAACCACATACACTTTGTACTTTCCTGACATCCTAAATTGAAAGCCTAGATAATTCTAAATCCCAGAAATTTCTTTCATATCCAAAGCCAGACTTTCTAAACCTAGGTCTCTTGAGATGTGTTGAAAGACAGCCCTTATCTTCCTCTGTTAGGGAACCTAGCCATGTAATATGTAATGAACAAACCTATAAGTTTGCACTTGGGAGTACTGTATATAGCTTCTGTTATCAGTGGTAGAATTGTGCTGGGGATGATTGGAATTGTCATCCAAAAGAGCCCCAGAAGAGTGTCATAAATTTAGCCTTGGGCAGATCCCTGACATAGAGACCAACGCATGTTCCTTCTGGTTCAGATGGTCTCATGCTCAGTTCTGCCATCGCCAGTTAAAGGGATCCAAGCAATGGCCACCGATGAAGCCTTGGAGGACTACTGTCGGTCAGTTGGGCCATCGCTGTGTGGGTGGACCAAGGATCTGACTCATACGTCCATCTTTTCTGCCAAGGAACAGACGTCATTGTAGGAGTCGTCACAAGACAGAGTGTACATCTCAGAAGCCGTCAGGTCAACAGCACTGTTGTCTCTTAATGGCTGATGTCATCTGTCCCAAATTGATGAGATCACATTTCCACAGTCTTTAAAAAAAATCATAGCATCATATAATTTGAGAGTTGGAAGACACCCTATGGGTCATCCAATCTAACCCCATTCTGCCACACAGGAATACACCATCAAAATACCTTGGACAGATGGGCATCCAGCCTCTGTCTTGAAAGCCTCCAAAGAAGGAGACTCCACCACTCTCTGAGACAGGAGTGTCTTCCACTGTTGAACAGATCTTACTGTCATGAAATTCTTCCTAATGTTTCAGTGGAATCTCTTTTCCTGTCGTTTGAATCCATCGCTCCATGTCCTAGTTTCAGGAGCAGCAGAAAACAGGCTTGCTCTATCCTCAATGTGACACCCTTTCAAAAGACCATTCCCAAAATGATTTTCCTAAATTAGTTGTGCTTGTCTGTTGTAGGGTTCAGAGAAAACTGCATAGACTCTGTACCAAAGAATAAGGTGGCCAGGTTGAGATCATCCTAGGTCCTGAGGTTTCACAGCCAAAACCTGAGACAATCTTTGATGATGTTCCAAAGGTGGCTCTATTGATGTCATTAAGAATGATATCTCATGGTTGCACAGGGTATGCCGATCAAATAAAAAATCTCCACGTCTAACAAACATGCAGTTTACAAGGCATTATCCTCACCCTAAGATTCCTCCCCCTGCCCTGAGGACCAGATAAAGCCAGGCTTGAGATTCCAACCCAGACCCTGAGACTTGACAATACTACCTAGGAGTAGTGTTTACAAAGTAGTCTTCCCTTGACTTCTCAACTATTGGCATTGCATCTTCATTGCTCTCCACCCAGTTAACTGGGCCTTCAGAATCCAGGTGTACTGGTTTAACTGGGAGGACCTTCCTCAAAGAAAACCTCATTTGATGAAGAGGGAGAACATTTTCTGTTAAAAATAAGCCTTAACCCCTCTCACAAACCACAGCTCCTTGAGACAAGGGAATGATGGATGTGGGAGTCCAACCCAAGTGGAAGAAACTGGGTTGCAGGAGGTTGCAACAGATACAGTCCTTCGAGTCGTACCTGTGGTAGAGAAGCCATGGCAGGGGTCTCTTAGCAAACCTTACTCTGCTAAGATTTGCTTCTGTAGATGAAACCTAGGCATAGAAAGAACCCGTGGGAGTGTTTCCAAATGAACTACAATTTCTCTGCTCAGGTCTGCTTGCCTGTTTTATTTATACCTTGCCTGGATAATTGGGCCAAGCGTGAGCATTGACCTGCACAAAAAAATGGCTTCTTTTTGCACGCTAGTCACAGCTTAAGGCAAACAATGTGCAAAAGTGTTGTGAACCCATGACCTCCCCATGGATGATCTGATCTTTCTACAGCCACAATGGTGTGGTCCAAGGAGGTCGGGGTGGAGGAGAGTGGTAAGAAAAGGCATCCTTAGACTCAGAGTCTGCAGAGCTCAAGGAAGGAGTGGGTCACTGGAAGGCAACTTCTAGAGAAAGAGCGGGATGCTGAGTGGCGAAAGGTGAGGATATTGGATGGGGAAAGGTGAGGATGCTGAGTGGGTGAGGGTGCAAAGAAGGGTTGGGTATCCAGGAGGCAGCTTCTGGAAAAAAGTGAGGCTGCTGGGTGGGGGAACTTGGGGATGCTGGGTGGGTGAGGATGCAGGGAATGGATGGGT